TATATATATATACATATATATGTGTGTGTATTTTTTTTATTCAAACATAAAAAATAAAGCATACCTCTAGTCCCTCAGAATAAGAACAACTGGTCTAAAGCCAGTGTACTTACCATTAGGATGCAGGGTCTCATGAGATTATTTGTAACGTACAATCTGACACCGTTAGGTTGATGAACTAATGGAGCTTGACACTGGTGCTACCGCTTTTGTTATGGAATATATTACTACTGCTCATTTTAATTCTAAGTATTTATTTTACCAATAAAGTTAAGCCTTCTCCATAGCATTTTGAGTAGGAGGCTAATGGCTCAAGAGTAGGAGACAAGTGTTTTCCCAACAGAAACATTGCACATAGATGTACATTTTGATCATAGTTTAAGAAAACCTCACCTGACTGCTGCTAACCGAACTTTAATGCTGGATTCTGATAGGCCACTAACTATTCGGTCCATCATGTTCTCCGTCTCTGTGATCTAAGGATGAAGGTTAGAATTTGAGCACATTTGCACAAAGTCCATTTGCAAGCAAAACCATGTTATGCATATACTACTGTCCCTGAAGAAAGAAACGAGGTACAACACATGAAGTATGGGGATATCACGCACCTGTATGTTCTAGCTGAAGACACCTCTAATCACGCCTTTGGGGAAATTATATGTGATATTGTCAAGTAGGTGCCTACACTATATATCATCATCTTTATTCTTCAGTTCGATAGCCGCTCTTCACCAAGCCCAGCTGTGCAGTGGGGCAGTCAGGTCTTGTACCTCGTCTCTCTTTACAAGGGAACAGTAGTTATTATACATAACATTATGTTCCCTTCCAGTCGATTTCCACGGTACAACACATGAACTATGGGACATATATAAACACCCTGCAGAGCAGCCATCAAACCTGGGTCAAATGCAGCATTTTTCTGTAGCACCTTTGACCCCAGCAGAAAGAAAAGAGTGAGCCACAGAGGGGGCTGTCATATCCAAATGATAAAACTTAACAAATGTGTGCATTGAAACCAGCTGGCCCCAGCACAGATGTCACTCACAGGTACCCCTCTAAATGAATCCCAAGACAATTTTACTTCCCTGGTGGAGTGCGCACCAAGTGAAGGAATTGGGAGATCCCTGCTATGGTAAACTAGAAAAAAAGCGTCCACAATCTAGAGGGAGAGTATCTGTGTGTGATGCTAACCCAGCCAAGGGCAAGTCTCTGTCCAGACAATCAGATGATCACACAGTGTGTGGCAGGGCACATGTAGGGCACCATGTATGCAACCTACTTGGACACTTCAGTATCCAGTATCCTCAGTAGATAGGATATCAAGTATTCTACCTACTGAGGGCTGAATAGTCATGGACCTGTAGTCTGAAAGTATAATATTTGGGATATATGCTGCATTTAGTCACAGGTTGACCATGTGAAGCTAGAAGCAATTTACACATTCATTTTGCAGTTGTCAATACAAGAAGCAGGGTAACTTTATAGTAAAGAAACCTCATCTCTACCAATTCCAATGGTTCAGGAGCATTGCAGAGTCTTGAACAACACAGTAAGATCCCAGCAAAAGATACTGGTTGGATAACAGGTTTTAGTATTCAACCATCTTTCAAGAAATGCAATGCCAGAAGATGAGCACCTGGCATGACCTCATCAAATCTAACATGGCAGGTAGAATTAGCTGTCTGGTAAAACTTAACTGTAGAAAAAGAGGACAACAACATCCAACAACTCTTGCAGAAATGTTAAAACATCAATTGCTGAACACTGAAATGGAGCAATGTGCTTGACCCTTTATGAGTGGGGGATTATCCATTATGAGTGCATTATCCATTATCCAGTGGATAATGCCTGTGCACTCTGGATTGACGCTACCACAGCAGGAGGATGCCCATTGGCTAGCAAGCTGGATTTTTCAGCAGGTAGGCATACAGCTTCCACAATTCTAGTTGTTCATTAAATGTCTTTTGAACAATTGTTGTGCCCTGAGAAACATTTAACGTGCCCAAACTGCAATGTTTTAGTGCAGCTATAGCGTGGTTTGGGAAACTGTGCTTTGAGGGACTGAGTGGAGGAAATGCACTGCCTTATAGGGCAGGAACCACGAATAATACAATCAGGACACCTATTGAGCAGTAACTGACGAAGTGCAGTCCTACAGCTAAGAGAACTGTCTTCTTTATCTGATATGTTAATACTGTTTGAAGACTTGCAGGGACTTGATCCAGGTCAAATAGCAGGTAGCTTGGCCATGGTTCTGAGGCTGTACTGGATAGGAGCTCAGACTCAGGACTGTGAACTCACTGGTAGCACTCACAAATGGTGGGAATAATCTTGGAGAAGCTGTGAGCTCGACTTTGGCGTAAAGGAACAATTTGGCTGTTTTAGAGTTTCCATCAGAGGAATATATACTAGCGAGACTTTAAAAAAGGCAGAAACAGCAATTCACAAGTTCTGCCTGACCCAAATTGTGGCCTTGACGCCGGATTTATCTCAACTCCTCCTGGAATGTTTTGAAAACAACAAAGATGCTTTGACTGTTTCCTCACCCCTCTCTTCCCCAAGGCCGTGGACATGTGACAGAACCTCAACTGAGCTGAAGATGAATGTCACATCTTATCTGGACAATGGCTGAGAGGGGGGGCTCTGGACTATGCTACGACTTTCCCTTAAAAATTCAATGTTTTCACCGGCCTATATGTAAATGTATAATGTCTGTTTATGTTGCTTTTCTGTGGTAGGATTTTTTGATGCCTCAAATTGTGCCCTGTCTAGGACACGGTGTGAGAGATCTTTTTTTTTAATACCGTCTCTCCTCATGTTTTCTTTCCTTTTCTAACCACTGTTTTTGTTAGTCCAAACAGGTCTCCCGAGTAAATGCGTCTTCGAGGCTCAATGTGATTTATCTGTTTAAATAAAGGTTGAATGAATGAATGAAAAAGACTAACAGGCAATGCCACTCTCTTTGATGGAAGTGCTGGTACAAACAGTTTGTGCGTGCTCATCATGCCATGTCTGGAATGATAGAGTGCAGTGCTCAAGTGTACTTCTTCCTCAGCTCAACTTTTGCCTGTATGGAATCGAGAGATTGACCAAACAGTTCATTAGCCAGCCCTGGTTCATCTAGGTCAGGGGTCTGCAACCGTTTTGATCAAGAGCCATTTCTGTCCCTTCATTTACAAAAAAATGTGTGAGGATCCACAAAACCTGCTACAATTGTGATTACAAACTGATGGCCAATGGGCCACTTTGAGTTTGTTGGGAGGGGGACTTATGTCCAGTGGGTGTGACATTATAAAACTCAAATTATATAATGAATTTAAACATTTATTAATAAGTTTACATCTTAGAACAAAAACAAATAGCCGCATTATATAAAGAAGGGGGAAAAAAATAGTTTATACCAATTTTAATAAAAATTAAAACATTGAACTCTGAAGGTTTATGTGAGGAAAAATAATTATCACACTTTGAAGTAATAATTCAAAAATTTGTAGTATTGTGCAAAAATTTATTAAAATTTGCCACAAAAAAAAACTAAAGAAAAGTGCCAAAACTAGCCTTTCTGCTGTGGGTATAAAAACATATGTGCAATTAAATTTAATTTCTGTTTTGATCAAAGCTTCAAAGGAGCTGCAGAAGAGGGACTAGAAACCTGCACGTGCCTACAGAGCCTCAGATTGCAGACCCTTGATCTAAGTAAACCCTGTCCGGGACATCTAAGAGTGTCCTCACATCCAGTTTTTCAGCTGCTTGCATGTTTACAGAGAAAAGAAAAAGCGCACACAGCCGCGGTGGCAACACCCTGACCAGACACAAGTTCATCATCTTCCGACAGACCATGAATGTCAAGGTCAATGCCCAGCACGTCCTTGTCTCTCTAATGGAGGGCCAGTTAAAACTGAACTTGAGCAGCATTCTTTTCATTTTCAGCTAACCTCTACATATACGTGGTCTTCTCAGCTGGAAGAGGGGACCCTGACAGAATAAAACTGTCCTCGCTGGACCCTGATAAAACAAGGTACCCAACTCGGAGTACTAGGTCTAGCAGTAGCTTCTTACAGCACTTTCTACAAAAGCTTCTCCAGGGTCAAATGATGAGGCTGGCAACAGAACACACATGCTCTGTCAACGCTCTCTGGGCATGAATGATCCCTAAGCAGACTGTACAAGTTTCTTGCTGGACCTTCTCATGGAGCAAGAAGAACAACCCCTGAGGATGAGGGCAAATTAAACATCTCTGCTTCGCTCATGTTGACTTTGTGCTGATGCCAAGCTACAAAAGCCAGAGAAAAAGGAAAACTCTAAACCAGTGCTTTGCGGGCAGACATGTCATCCAGAGGCAGCCGTAACCAACACCAACAGAGTAGTTGAGCTCATTCTGAGCAGGCTTTGTGAGGCACAGAGCTAACTATAATTCAAGAGGTGCTCTCAGTGAGGCGAAGAGCTTAATAACTGAGGAATGACTGTGGTGACACTTTTAAATATTTTCCTCTGAAAATGTGGAGTGCAGGCGGGGCCTGTCACTTGTTGTCATCATGTTATTTGCACAAAGGCGTGATTAGAGGAGTCTTCAGCCAGGACACAAGAGGTTGTGACATCACCATACTTAATGTGTTGTACTGAGTAAAATGACTGAAAGGGAACCATGAGGGACAAAACCTTTTTGCGTATGTCTTCATCATTGGAGCCGAGGGAGGCGTAGAGTTTGAAAGCAGCTTGCCTTAGCTCATGTGCATGTTTCAGATCATGGTCCAACTGTAGATAGAAAAAAGTAGTAAAAAACTTCTGATATATTTACAGTAATGGCAAGTAGTATGCATTCATAGCTTTACTGATCAACATCTTTCAATGGCTAAAAATAAAATTTCCAACAGTTACTGCAACACAGCTTATTATCATTATTGCCATCTGAAAGTATGAGCTCAGTTTTATCCCTTAACCCTCTAAAGGTCTTTTAACTTTGTGAGAATAACTGTTCTGGGAGGGAGGGGATCGAGTACATAATGTCTGAAAAATACAGGTTAATATTTTTGTCATATTCAGTCAATTTTTTAAGAATTTCTCGTCTGAAATATAAATACCAAACGCAAATGATTTAAAATGTTTTAGCTCATTAAGGACATTTAGTTTTATAAAACACTGCATTTTTAATTAACTTTTTTTTTTTATCCATAGCTATTTTTTTTAAAAGAGATGCCTCCATCTTAGGATGCTCCAAATGGAAGTTTCGACATTTTTTGAAGAATTCCTATCTGAAGTCATGGGAGGCCGCCCTACACCCTACACCCTCCCCGACCTTCTAGACTGGGTAGTTGGCAAAGAAGCCCTGGTTTTGGTCAGACCTACACAAGTTGGCCGCTGTCAGCCTTGGGAGGTCCACTCCGTTTGTCTACTTATGAACATTGCAAGTGTGTTTTTGTTCTTTACAAATGAAAAACTAAAATAAACTGGACAGTCACAGCCCAGTCTAGCTGAAAAACTATGTGGCAATATTGCCTCATTTTTGGTCAAGCCTGCACAATAAGGCACTGAGGGAATACACAGAATGACCTGGGAGAAAGCATAACAGGATCTAATCTAAAAAAAAAAAATACAACACAGACATTTCAGAGATTACTTAATTTCAGTAATGACTGTTTTTGTTTTGAAAAGAACGATTAGAATAATGCATAAACTTTATTATAATGAACATACACAATCCCATAATAAACTGCAATTATTTAAAACTAGAGATCTTGTTTATGTGAAAAAAAAAAAAAAAACTATAAAAATCAGCCTTAATTGCCATTTCAAATTTTAAAAATGTACTCCAGTAATTAAATATTCATAACCATCAGGGTGGCTGAGATGGGTACAAAATGGGGAAAGTCAGTTAATGTGGGTAAAGATGGTTAACTGAATAACTGAATAACTTAAAAGTTTACAAACAGGACTCCAAAAAAGTTGGGACACTAAACAAATTGTGAATAAAAACTGAATGCAATGATGTGGAGGTGCCAACATCTAATATTTTATCCAGAATAGAACACAAATCACAGACTAAAAGTTTAAACTGAGAGAATGTATCATTTTTAAGGGAAAAATCTGTTGTTTCCAAATTTCATGGCGTCAACAAATCCCAAAAGAGTTGGGACAAGTCCATTTTTACCACTGTGTGGTATCCCTCCTTCTTCTTACGACACTCAGACGTCTGGGGACAGAGGAGACCAGTTTCTCAAGTTTAGAAATAGGAATGCTCTCCCATTCATGTCTAATACAGGCCTCTAACTGTTCAATCGTCTTGGGCCTTCTTTGTCGCACCTTCCTCTTTATGATGTGCCAAATGTTCTATATAGGTGAAAGATCTGGACTGCAGGCTGGCCATTTCAGTACGCGGATCCTTCTCCTACGTAGCCATGATGTTGTGATTGCTGCAGAATGTGGTCTGGCATTATCGTGTTGAAAAATGCAGGGTCTTCCCTGAAAGAGATGACGTCTAGATGGGAGCATACAGGTCCTTCTCAAAAATTAGCATATTGTGATAAAGGTCATTACTTTCCATAATGTAATGATAAAAATGAAACTTTCATATATTTCAGATTCATTGCACACCAACTGAAATATTTCAGGTCTTTAATTGTTTTAATACTGATGATTATGGCATACAGCTCATGAAAACCCAAAATGCCTGTGCCAAAAAATTAGCATATCATGAAAAGGTTCTCTAAACAAGCTATTAACCTAACCATCTGAATCAACAACGTAACTCTAAACACCTGCAAAAGATTCCTGAGGCTTTTAAAAACTCCCAGCCTTGTTCATTACTCAAAACCGCAATCATGGGTAAGACTGCCGACCTGACTGCTGTCCAGAAGGCCATCATTGACACCCTCAAGCAAGAGGGTAAGACACAGAAAGAAATTGCTGAACAAATAGGCTGTTCCCAGAGTGCTGTATCAAGGCACCTCTGTGGGAAGGGAAAAGTGTGGCAGAAAACGCTGCACAACGAGAAAAGGTGACCGGACTCTGAGGAGGATTGTGGAGAAGGGCCGATTCCAGACCTTGGGGGAACTGCGGAAGCAGTGGACTGAGTCTGGAGTAGAAACATCCAGAGCCACCGTGCACAGGCGTGTGCAGGAAATGGGCTACAGGTGCCACATTCGCCAGGTCAAGCCACTTTTGAACCAGAAACAGCGGCAGAAGCGCTTGACCTGGGCTACAGAGAAGCAGCAATGGACTGTTGCTCAGTGGTCCAAAGTACTTTTTTCGGATGAAAGCAAATTTTGCATGTCATTCGGAAATCAAGGTGCCAGAGTCTGGAGGAAGACTGGGGAGAAGGAAATGCCAAAATGCCAGAAGTCCAGTGTGAAGCACCCACAGTCAGTGATGGTCTGGGGTGCCATGTCTGCTGCTGGTATTGGTCCACTGCGTTTTATCAAGGGCAGGGTCAATGCAGACAGCTATCAGGAGATTTTGGAGCAGTTCATGCTTCCATCTGCTGAAAAGCTTTATGGAGATAAATATTTCATTTTTCAGCACGACCTGGCACCTGCTCACAGTGCCAAAACC